TTTTTTGATAAATCGGAATATATAATATTTTTTCTTTTTTTTTTTTTAAAGTTCAAGCATTGACGAGAATATGCTAGAATGTTAGTTCTTTAAGTTTCACTTCCACAAAAGTCGCGGATCTTTCTGCAAACTCATGTTTTTGTCGTGTTTCTCTTTATATTTGCAAAACGAGACACTCAAGTGGATATTCGCGATCACTTCTGTGCATAATTCAATGTGTATTACATCAACGCGGCAATGAAAAGTCAATGACGTCAGCGGAATCCGATAAAAACATCGAGCTACTCTACTCGAATTACCTGGCGATTCGGACTCAACGACGAAAGGTTAATTTAATGGGACACCGAGTCCCCGAGAATGAATTAGTCGCCCGACGTTTCTTTTTTTTTCCCGAGTCGATAATGAATATATCCGGTGAAAAATTGACGGCTATAACATTACCGTCGCGTTGAAAACCTGTAATCTTGTGCGATTTACGACAAATCCTAAAAAGTGGTGTAGCCGGCCAGCGACACGTGCGAGAGGATAAAAATCCGAGGCGGTTCTTCGGAAATCGACATGCACTCGCTATTAAGTGCCGCTCGATACACGTTACCGCTAATTGAATGAACATTTGCGCCATCAGTGTCGCATACCGAATTAAGTTGCGCTTTAATCAACGGCGAGCTCCTGCCAAGAATACGAAACTCGTCACATGGACGGACCATTGTATAATCTCTGCGGTTGAACCTACAGTCTTCGCTAGAGGCGACGGATCTCTCGCCTTTTCTTCAGATACACTGGAAGAAATTGTCCGATGAGAAAATTAACAAACCGATAATATCCGATCAAGTTCCAATCAATTTTCATATCCGATCAAATTCGATCGGACACCTTGATAACATTTCATCAAATAAACCGATAAAATACAAAAACCGATGTTTTTCATCAGAAATTTACTGATCAAAAATATAAAAATTGATCGGCATTTGATCTGATTTTGTTCGGAAATGTGCGTTTGTTAATTTTTCATCGGATAACCTCTCTTCGTGATCGTTTAAATAGTCATATTCATACTCTCTTAAAATTAATCAGTCAAACATCACTGAAACATACACTGATTGCAGTTATAAGTATACCACTAAAAGTGCTCAGTGCTATACTCGCAACTGATATCAGCGACTATTCACTGATTCACTTTAAGAGAGTAAAAATCAAGTCAATGAGAATATCCTCGGGGAATAAAGCTTGATCTACAATGTGTTATTTGCTTCTAGTTTTATTTTATCTCTTCCTGACTCAAACTTTAAGCCTCAGAACTACAATGTGTTTTTTGCTTTCTATTTTTTTCTCTTTACTTCTTTCTGATTTAAAACTAAAGCTTTTAGCTAGAAAAAGATAGAAATCAAGAAACAGGAAGCAAAGAGCACATTGTAGATTAAACTTTAAGCCTGATCTACAACATGCTCTTTGCGTTCTGTTTCTTGTCTTCTGTCTTTTTCTGGTTTAAAGTTTAAGGTTCGAGTCAGAAAGAGATAAAGAGAAAGAAGCAAGAAGCAAAGAGCATATTGTAGATAAAGGCTTAAAGCCTGATCTATAATATGCCCTTCGCTTCATGTTTCTTATTCTTCTAAATTCTCCTAACAAGATCAAGATTTAAATCAGAAAGAGATAAACAGAAAGAAACATAAAGCAAAGAGCACATTGAATCACAAGAGCACAAGATCAAAGTTTAAACTAAAAAAGAGCAGAGAACAAGAAGCAGGAAGCATTTGGTAACAACAGTTACCAAATATCTCATTTTATACTACTAATATTTGGTATTAAACTTCCAGAATCTAATCTAATAAGCTAAATGTATAGTTCAAGCAACTAAATCTCTTCTGAGAATTATATACTTTTGCTTTATATAACTAAATTATTTCCTAATTATCATTCTATGCTTGGCCCGCATTATTAGAACTGAATAATTTAGCAACTATTAGATTTTGTTACGAAATCTTCCTTTCAGCGTAGCGCTCGCCCGAGTCGAAGTTTAAGTTATACGCAATGCCATCGAACTTGTAGCCCGCTGAAAAAAAAGACTAATATTCGGCAAAAGGTACTGGCGGTCAAAAGTTGTATCACACACTTTACACATTCGCGTCCTTCAATCTCGTTTCGATTCCGACCGGTCACCATCTTCCCTTTCAGACACGCTCGACTGTTGCTTGACTTCGGAGATCGTGCGGCGGGCAATCATCTCAATGGCTCTGACATTATTCTTGTGACTTACGCTTATGCAATGTATTCTTATAACGCTCATGGAGCATTGTAACGCTAGTATTCCCGAGACTTATAGTAGATTATAAATTTCGACTCGGATGGCTTCTATCGATATGCAATGTTTGTCGCGTAAGAGGACACTTTGCTTCAAGCAAAATCTTCATCATATTCCTCAAAAGGAAGAAAGAATAATATCTAGTGGATTTCAGATCAATGATCTGAACTTTCACTTAGAATATTCTAATATTAGAATATCTAATATTAAGTTTTCACTTAGAATATAGGATTATAGGAAATATTATCTTGTAACTAGAGTTCTTTATTTTGGGTGTTAACTCCTGAGTTTAAATTAGAGATGTGCGAATCAAAGATTTTTTTATGTCGAATCGAATCGAATCTCAGATTTTAATTTCGAATTCGAATCAAATCGGTGAAATTTCACCCGAATCGAATCGTTGAAAGAATTTTTACTTAACATAATCATTGAATTTAACATGAAAATAGTGACTTCAGTATGAGAGAGAGATAATATTGATCATATAATATCAATTCATTTTATATATATAAGGTAAGAAATATATAATATATCTCAGTTCCAGCCTTGAAAGCTGCGCAACGACACATATCGATCCGACAGTTGTCGATAAGATTTTGTCTAGAAGCCATTATCTTCTTTTAATATTTTTGAAGAAAATCTTAATGTATTACAAACTTTTCAAGTCATGCTAATTCCCGTAATGTCTTTAATAGTACTTCATTAATGCTATGTGCGTGATCCGTTATTCGAATCTTTTCGATTCGAAATTTTCGAATTTGAATCGAATCGAATTTCACTTGATGCAACTCGATTCGATTCGAATAGTTCGCACATCTCTAGTTTAAATTGTGTCTGAATAGAGACTGAATATCCAGGAAACTGAAAATCAGGTTAATGTTTGATCGACGTTGGTAGAGAGAAACCGGTATAAGTCTGTTTTACACGATGTAAAAAAGATATAAAAAAAATACGAGGTGGTCGAAAATGTGGGGAAAGTTCTCCAAATAGCTTCTGCAGCAAACGTACTAAAGTTCGATTCGCGCACAGGAAAATATCTCCCTGATTTACTCACTTATTTCCTTAACTTGTTTGCTAAACGTATATTTCCTTGTCTACTTAATTATCAATTAAACATCTATGCACTAAATTCATCTATTTTCCAATATCTGCATTTCCTTCAAGACAATTCCGAATGCAGTACTGGGCATTGACCGATGAAAATTTTCTTTGTCTAAAATTAGCAAAGCAATAATCAAAGTCATACGCCATATATGTAATCACGAGTATAATTTAATTGATTGATGAAATGAAATATCAATCAGTGTACGATCAATCAAAGTTTATTAATTAAACTTTGATTGATATGTTGATTAATACAAAGTCAATCAAAGAAAATGTTATTAATAATTAATCCCATCACACACACACACACACACACACACACACACACACACACACACACACACACACACACACACAAACACACACACACACACACACAATCGTCGAAAACATTCGTGATTATGTATATGGCGATTAATTTTGATTATCAACTTGCCGATTATTTTGGCGAAAGAAAACCTTTATCGATTAATCGCCAACAATATCCGGATGATGTGCTCGCAACTCCAAATCTATCACGCTGCCGCAACGAGCTTTGATAAGGCGGCCGTCCACAAGCTCACTTGTGTTTACTTCGTGAACAACGTAAACGACTTGTGTGTGCGTGACATATATATCAATAACAATGTCATAATAAAAATATTATATCAGCACGTGCCACTTTACTTCGCCGATTTGCCGCTGTAAGCCGGGATTGCGAGTAATGAAGTACTGTTATAATTAATTATCGCGTTTAATTGACGTTTAATATGGGTCAATTGAATACTTGCATTGAAAATTGATTTCAACAAATCCAATCAAAGAAAGCTCGATTGACGATTGATTTCAACGAATTCAATTAAAAGCCATTCAACTGGCGATTGATATGAGCAAGCAGAATCAAAGATCGTTCGGTTAATAATTGAACTTAGCAAATTTGATTGAAGGCCATTTAATCGATGATTGAGTTCGGCGAATGGAATTAAAAGCTTAATTGACAACTGATATGAATAAATTTGGCTGATTCAATCGAGGACTGTTCGGTGACGACTGATATGATCACAGTGCCCCCCTCAACGCGGATCCTACTTAACGCTTCTCAACCATCGGCATCTTCCACGATGCCACAGTACTCTGGATATGAATATCATCTACAAAATCAATTGCAACACCGAGTAATCAAACGCTCTTCGATCGAGTCGATTGAATTTGCTCATATCAATCGTCAATCAGCCCTTAATTAAATTTGCTAAAATCAATCGTCAATTAAGCGGCCTTTAATTAAATTTGCTAAGTTCAATTGTTAATTGATTCCTCTCGCTCATTTCCATCGTTAGTTGAACGGTCTTTAATTGAATTCGTTGAAATCAATCGTCAACTAAACATTCTCCGATTAACTTTGCCCTAATTGAGTCAATCAATCATACCGAAACACATCGGTTCTAACGGAGATCAGTTCGATGGATATTCTACAATTCTGCTGTAAACAGAGACATCCGCGTCAAACGTTTCGGAGCCGCCGTTTAAGCGCGCGAACAGGAACATCTCGAGGTCCGTGAGGACCTCCGCGAGGAGACGGAAAGAAGGGACTTGTTGGCTGGATGTGACCAGGACTCACCTGCATCTGCAGCCACGAGTAGTCGATGTACGCGGTGGTGGCGGTCACGGCCCCGGCGACGGTGGACGTCGACGAGATCTGCTGCCAGCCGTCCTGTGCGTTGCATCCGAGCACGGCGAGTCCGTCGGGTTGCGCCCGGTCGGGCACTATCTGATCCGCGGCGTACTGGTAAGGCGGCTGTATCGTCGGCTGTCCGGCCGACGGTAGACCCTGCAGAGCCGCCGGATGAGGATGCTGCGCTCCCGTGCCGGCACCGGCGGGCAGACAGCACACGCTCGCGTCCATCCGTGGCGGCGGCGGAGAGTCGTAAAAGCGTAGCTGCTCCGGCTCCGGCTCCCGAGACGTCGTTCTGCCGAGGGTTAATCCTCGCGGCACCATCCAACCTGCGGACGCAGCCGTTGACGCGCCGTGATATCTCTCGCCGACGGCTGGGAGTCCCTCCGCTCTCTCTCTCTCTCTCTCTCTCTCTCTCTCTCTCTCTCTCTCTCTCTCTCTCTCTGTACCTTTTTCTTTCTTTCTCTCTTTCTTTTTTTCTTGCAACCCGCCGACGCGGAAGCGACCGACTCGGACTCTCCCTTGAAGCTCCAGAAGGGTCTACTTTCTAGGTCTCTTCCGTCGGACTTCAGGCGGACCGCAGCGGAGAACACGATGTCAGCATCTTCCTCGTCGACTCGATCCGCGGTACTTGGCGACGCTTCGCGACGAGACCTTCTCCGTGCTCTCGGACAGTTTCTCCCTTGAGATTTCGGCCGTAGTAGGCTGATGACAGCGGTAGAGGGCGAGTTCTTGTGGCTCGCAGCGATCGTGTTTCACGATGTCACTTCGATTCGCGATAATCGCGGCGGTCACCCAGGCGACGAGCCACGACTACAGTCACGTACGCGTGCACCGCGTTGACGTCCCGCGCGAGTCCAGCGAGTTCTGTGCGCGAGACACTATTCCGCAGCAGGCCGCCGAATGCTCGTCGAATGTCGTTCGAATGTCAGCGGACATCTCGCCCGCCGATTAGCGGAAACTCGCTCCAATTGACAGGACGACTCCGCGTGATCGCTGTCGCCGGCGACGCCGACGCTGCTGCCGTCGCCGTCGACGCCAACGCGCCGTTGTCGAGGAGGAGCGCTAACGGGGCGAAGAGGCGCTCAACTTGGACCTCGAGTTCGATTCACGGCGCGATGTTCCTCGGGGCGTTCTCGTGTCCGCCGAAGTCCTCCAGCGGAGGCATCGGGTGGCAAATGACAGTCCGACAGTTGGCCGCGCGACGACTACATGAAACGTGCCGGGATATCCCTATGCTAGCGAAGTGTTCTCCAGCGGATCGGCATCGTCGCTCACTCACTGGCTGCTCCTTCACTCGCCGATCTTCTTCCTCCTCTTGCAAGGGCTGATCACCCCCCGACAGAGCATCCTCGTCCCTCGTCGGCCGATGACACTCGCGATGACAGGTCGAACGCACGCCTCGGACGAGCCCGTTGGCAATTCGCACGACGACGACGACGACACGAGACACGGAACATCCGACGCGGCAGGTAACGACGACGATGCGCACCCACGACGTCGCGTCCCGCAGCGTCGGGGTAAGGTGGATGTATACGCGACTCGCGAGCGTACGAGCGACGATCGTGGTCGATCGCCGCGGGATCCGCGAAATGACGTTTCTCGACGGTGACAGCGCGCACTCCCGTTAACGCGTTGACGCGAGCGCGCGTGTTCGCCGCCGGAGCACCACGAGGACGAGGGCGGAGAGAGAAATGGTGGGAGAGAGACAGAGAGAAAGAGAGCAGAGTCTGCTTACGAGAAGGCGAGGGTGGTGGTATTCAACGCCGGTGGTGGTAATGTTGATGACGACGGTGGTGGGGTCGCGGTGGCGGCGGCGGTCGCGGAGGTGGCGGTGGTGGCGGTAGTGGCAATGGTGGTGGTGGTGGTGGTGGTGGTGGAAACAGCGGCGATACGAAGGCTAGGGTGACGGAGGCGACTGGCGCGCGCACTTTTGACTGTTGCTCGCGTACGGCCGGCGTTGCGTGCGCGCATGCGTGAACGCGTGTCGTCAAGGCAACGGTTCCGGAGTAACTGCTTGGCGAACGCAGCCCTCCGCGGCGAACGTGAATCTTGCCCCCCCTTCTCTGTCTGTCCTTCTCTCTCTCTTCCTCTCCCTCTCGCCGTCCTCTCTCTATCCCGCTCGTTCAGGCCGCGGTACTCGCGCGCCTGGCTCACGCCCCGGGCGCGACCGATTCGAGCGGTCTAGGCGGCCATCGAGCGCACGCCCCCGTCTCGACACCGAGAGAGTCTCTCACGTTCCCTCTCTCTCTCTTTCTTTTTCTCTCTCTTCCCTTCTTTTTCTCTCTCTCTCTCTCCGACTCGCGCCAAGTATTTATATACATATGCTTTTCCCTCCTCCCATAAGTGTCCCCCCCTCCCCCTCCACTCACTCACCTTCGGTCTCCTCCGATTCCGTCTCGATCAGACGCGCGCGCGGCCCGCAAGTCATCATTCCGTCCTTCTCCCACCTTCTGCACAAATACACGACGCAGCGCGCCGACGCCCGCGTCTCGAAAGCGCGATTATCGACGTGAGCTATCGAGGGGACTCTCCTACCTCCCCTCCGACTTTGGCACACTTCTCTCAGCCGCTGCCCCCGTTCTCTTCTCCCCTCGCGCCATCTCGTATGTGCCTCGGCTCTGGTTACTTTCTTCTTCCATCGCGCGCGCGATCCCGCCGTCATACGACGAATCATCCCTCGCGTGCCACTGGAAACCACTGCCATTCCGTAGCTCTCCCTTGCTCTCGACGCGATGTCACCCGAGTCCTCTCCTCGATTCGCGAACTGAGGCGCGTGCGAATCGAGGAACTGCCTCACGTGCTCTGACGTCACTATGAGGTCGCTTCAGGTTCAGGTTCTTTCCTCTCGCGTCTTGATCCTCCAGGATCGACTGCTCCGAAGTTGGCGTGATTAATTTTACGATATCACACGATACAAAAGTAAAATATAAGATGTCCGGTCACGTAACTTTCTCCACGACGGACTAGTCGACTGTGAACAGCGCAAGTCGACCGAATTCGCGATAACGATTCTCTCTCTCATCCAGCACAAAACGAAACGATGCGTACACAGAAAAAATACAATTGTATTAATAGAATTAGTCAATAGGTTGTGATTGCAATAAATTTCTTTTATTTAATAGCATTATATTATTAAAACTGATACTCGAGTTTTATTAAAAAATATATATATTGGTTCCAATAACACATACACATAGTTATTGAATCATAATTTATTTCAATCATGACCCATTTGATCAATTCTTTGATCGATAAAACAGGATTCTATTTTAATATATGATTTTTGGGAAACACTAAAGTAATCAAACAGGTGTTAAATGTTTCCTTCACCGGTAATTATACTAAATAATCTACTTAAGAAAAACAAAATGCACGAAATTCAATTCCAAAAATTTCGGAAATTTTGTCTTCAACCAGAACGCCTTTGATTCGTTCATTGTTATATTTCAAACAACTTCGTGTTAAATTTAACGCATTCCACATGTGCAAATTTATTTATTCTAATTTTTTTTATTGAAGGATTGTAAATAGTTCCCTTTCTTTCACCTGAGAGACATTCAGAGATTATCAGATGTACATTTGACAAGAATATAGGAAGAATGTTGTTTTATCTTCCCAGATAGCACAGATAATTCAAAAAGAATTCAGTCGCCGCCAATTCTGAGTTCATTTTCAGATGCAAAAAGAATTCTTCAGAGCTCAGTTTAGCGAAAAGAATCCTTTTTGCACCCAAAAATGAACTCAGAATTAGTGACTAAATTCTTTTTTAATTCTCTGTGCTATCTGAGTTATGCGTTAATGCGGAAAACACGAATGTTTATGCATGAAACTATAAAAAACAACGAATTTCACCAAAATTACCAATAAATTACCATCTTACCGTAAGTAATCGTCACCTTGAATCTAACGGTAATTTTACATATCTATATGGGATACTTAGTGTCAGACACTTTGTAAATGACGGTGAGAGAGAAAGAAAAAAAAAGGAGATAAGAAGAGGCTGCCGCATTAGGTTAAAAAGGACGACGCGCGTTAATTAGCCGCGAGTATCTCGCGACACACAATTCGCGTCGGATCCAGAATGCGACGCTGCTCGCGCGATATTAGTGTGCCGTACACAGAAGAGCGGACGCATGCATCTCCACAGCGCTCCCTCTCCCCTGCCTCTTTTCTCCTGCTCCCCCCGCTTCGCTCGATCGCGACGAGGCAGAAAGGTGTTCCCTTTCTCTTTAGATTGTGAAACGATTTTCTATCGCGGCGCTTTAGCTCGGCCGCGCGCGCGGATTTATTATATATGCAATGGGTTACGCAAATTACGACAAAGTGCAAATATTTCACATGACCTGCACCTGCGTGACTCCCCTTTCTACACGTGATCGTTTAACCAGGCACGTGAATCGTGACGCGCGGTGACTGCTACGTGTAGTATACATGATGTTTATATATATATACATACACACATAAATAAATAAATAAATATATATATATATATATATATATATATATATATGTATATTTCGGAGAAATTGGTCCTAGGAAGCTTATTGGAATTTCGAATATTGTGTGTATACACACACACACACAATGTTCGAAATTCCAATAAGCTTCCTAGGACCGAGCAATTTCTCCGAAATATACGTAACGCCACGCGAATTACATTCACCGTAGCCGACAGATGTTTCCTGGGAACAGAATCGCCAGACTGCCGCGAAGAACGAGATAATGAGCACGAGTTTCGGAAATCTTGTTCTTTCAACGTCTCGTCGCGCGACGCGATTGCACAAGCATCACGAAAACCGCCACATAAGGGAGACCGGGTCTAAGTGGCCTCAGGGATATGTTGCTCCATTTTAGTATTTATCTTAAAAAGAGCAATGGACACAAAATTATAAAATAGTTCTTTTAGATAATGAACACTTTTTCCTGAATCTCACTAAAATCAGAATAATATTACACTTAAAAATGTTAAAAAACTGGTTTAGTAATAACAGTAAATTGTTAAGTCTCTCGAAATTTTGTATTAATATTTCCCATCTCGTGAGTGAATCAAATTAAGCGACGTATTACTAGCTAAAGTGGAGTTTCTTGCAATTGAACGATATATTACTTCGGATAATGAAAACAATTTTTATTCATAAAATGATTGAGAAATCAAGCACATGGACGAACGAGGTGAAATTAGGTAAATTTTGAAAAATATTTTATATCAATATAAGCAAATATTTATTAATACTCCATCAAATAAATATCTAAAAGATTGTAAATATTTATTTGATAGGTACCAATAACATATTTACTTAAATCAAAATTTTTTTATTTACACAAAATAAACAATTGTTTTCATGAAAAGATCAATTTTTCTTAAAGTCTTAAGCAAATGTATATTTTCTTATTTGAAAAATATTCTATATTTAGTATATGTTTGTCATTAGCGAGAATACCGTGAATAAATATTTATCTTTCTTAGGTATTTTTTTTCTGTGTACAAGATCGGGGGAACCGCGAGTGTTCGCGTGACGGCGTATGGAAGCGTGTGTCACGGTGATACATTGTCAAGTTTAGGGTTGAAAGCAACGTCGGACGCGGGAGCGAGAGAGAAACGCGCAGAATTCGCACACACGCGCGGCTCGCTAGCTGATCTGAATATAGCGCGAGACGCAGAGTGCACCGCGCGCGCGCGCGCGCCGCAGCTCCCCCACTAGAAGCCGCGGAAGCGACGCAACTTATGAATGGGAGTAGTACTCGCCCATTGGTCGCGTCCGATAGCCAATAGCTGCTGGCTGGCGCGTCGCGCGCGCGGCAAGTGGCAAACGTACATACCTCGCAATATTCTCGATAAGTCGACGTGGAAGATCGAGGCGAGATATCGTATCGAATTAAGCGGATCCTATTAAAATGCAGCTTTCGCGCGCGCCACCTTATGCGACCAGCAGAAATCGTGAAATCATCGCGGGGGTATCCTGGAAAAATTATCGATCGTGTGAAACTCGTTTCAGCTGTAATTCATAAAGTCGCCCCCTCCCTCCCCCCCCCTTTTCTAGTCCCTCGGCACGACCTTTACACGCCTGGGAAACGTAAGGAGCGCTCGTTACTGTTATATTATTGCTATTATTGTCGATTCGTCAGTCTTATGTAATAATTATTTGCACATCTCTCGCGAGCGAGCTGTCGGCATATTTTAATCGCTAATATTTCACGCCGAGACACGTAGATGATCGGATGATAGACGGCCGCGATAGAAATGAAATATCCGTTCCGTCGATTCGTGAGAAGCGCGCTCGAGATCGCGCGCGACTCGACGAAGCGAGACGACCGACTTCGGCCTGCCTAAGTCGGTGCGGGACGTCGCTCAAACCGAGGAAGCGGCGAGGAGACAAAAGGTAATTGCTCTCGGCTCGCGAGAAAATGTAACGACTCGCGCCCGATGTAAGTCGGCGCGATAGAGCGGGAGGAAGGGCAGGTCGCGCGCGGCGTCACTCGCACCGCAAATACCGAACGGCAATTATCGGCTAACTTATGGAAAGTATAGGGAACAGACGCGCGCGGCGAACGCTCTTATGACAGGGAAGTGAGCGAGGCTCTCTTGGGCACGTCAAGGTGACAGCAGCGGGGATGACACCATACGCCGCGACAAGACCAAGAGCCATGCGATGTTACATCGGACATTATTACCCGCGCATCGCGAGCTCTGTAAGCACACACGGCCGTCTCTCTCTCTTTCTTTCGCGCGCACCTGAACGAGCGAGAGAGCGAGCGAGCGAGCGTTTACGCGCATTTATTACGGACTGGCGTCATCTATCAATTAGCCGCCTCATAGCGCGCGTTTCTCGCGCGATTGTGACTCAATTATGAACGACTGTGCACGAGTTACGTTACTCGTGTTTCCACCTAAGCTCGTGAATCATTCAACACGTCGTTTATACCGTCGCCCGAAGAATGCGAGTCTACGATTCGTCGCGCCAAATCCGCTCATACCCATAACGATCGTGTCGTGTGTGCACGCATACGTCGTTCACATTTTATTTTGTGTTCAGCAAAACTTGACTCTCTCACTTGCCGTGTAATATGGTTCTGTATAATACGAAATACGATCTACGTATACATATTTACATGTGTGATATCCGTGCTAAATAGCAGCGGAACATTGAACAACTGACTCGATCTCAACCCCACACGTCGCCATATTTGGTTTTTCCCTGTATTGGTATGCTCGCAGGAGTCTGTTGTTGTTGTTGTTGTTGTTGTTGGGACGCCTCGGTCGTCGGATATCTTTCCGCCGTTTGAGGAACGTAATATTGCCTGGTCTTCTTGTAATATTCCTCTCTATTATTGTGTCTCAATTCTTCATAAGTGGTATTCTTCTGCAGATTGATTGGTCCAGTTGTTAGATCCATGTCCTCCGAGATAGGGATGTCGCCTATATAAACGTAATTCGTTGAAGATATATAAAGAAAAATAAATTACATATGAGATTCTATGATATTAAAAACTTCGTAACGAAAGACCTATAAAAGTCGAATGCAAGGTGTGTAATAAATAATAATAATAAATTTCGGCTCCAATCCTTGGTTGCTTTTCAATTTGAAAAAAATTGCAGTTCAAATTCGATGTAATTCGATAATCTATGATGTTAGAAGAAGTGTGAACGAAAATTAGAGGCAAGTTTATGTCAGTTCATAATAAATTAACTGCTCGCTGAACGAATATTTTGATGGTTTTCATTTCAACGTACATTTAACATAGACGACTTGTCTTTAATTTTTATTCCGCTTCTGAGAGTTTTTATTCCACTACTTCTGACTTCTTCATAGACTATCGCATCACTTTAAATTTGTATATTGTATCATCGCTATTTGTTCCGTAATTTATTTATTATTCATTGAAAAGTAAAAGTACCAATTTTCAGACACATACCTAATCCTTGACATTCTTGTTGTTTTGGTCTTTAAATATAAATATTATATATAATTTTTTAACATAGAGAAAATGCATATACTCAATATTTATACATATATTTAATATTGAAAGTTTAAATATTTACATTTTAAGACCAAAACAATAAAAACCTGACATCATCAAACAAACGAGAGAGATTAAGATATAAAAATTTAACAATAATACTTTTCACAAAACTCACTGCTATCGTTGAGACTGTTATACGTGTCGTACGAATTCATCGGCGGGTAATCGTCGAACACCATTTCTGTGGGCGGCTGCTCAGAGCCCTGAGTCTCAAATGCCGCATCTGGTGACTGGAAGATCTGTCTCTCGCTGAGGAAAAAGTCGATTTAATTAAGTCCCAGACAAGTACTGGCGATCAGTTTGTCGTGAATCGATACCTCATATGCTTGTTTCCATATCTCGCCTCCATTATACGATCTTTCAGCGTACTGTTCGGCATGGAGGCCACTTTAAACAAGCATCTCTGAGAAGCGGTCGCTCTGCTCAATGTCAGACCCATCACCGCGCCGAATGCCGCGGCGTATTTTGCCTGTGCGCGAAATCGGGTAAATCTGAAAGTGGTGTAGCTGATGGCCGCGCAAACTATCGATGGAGCTAGGATACTCGAGCTTTTCATGCAATCTTGCCAGGCGTTTGTTTCTTCTACCGTCAACTGCAATTTATTTTTCTACAACATATCGAGAAAGCACATAGAACTCAGAATTTTTGTAATTTACTATTTATGTAATTTATGTAATTATGTAATTCAGACTAATGTAACACTTTGAAAAAAAGTGTATTTCTGGAAGTTTTTTGAAAATGGAGCAATGTTTTGAAACATTGAATATTAATTATTAACTATTAAATATTATATTACTATTTTTTGTTATATAGAAAAACCTATAAATTTATGTAATTATCATAAATATATGTTCATGCTGAGAAAATATGCTGCGGTACAATCGAAATAAATGTCTGCATTCAGTAGAGAAAGCTACTTTACAAATGTTGTGAAATTTGAAAATCTGCATGCATGCTCTTAATCTTGTCTGAATCTTAAAGCATATACCAATCAGATTCACAAATTTTACAACAGTAAAACAGTTGTAAAAGTGACTTTTTCCACTAAATGCAGTCATTGTTTATTTTCTGACAGTCTGTGATGTCAACACGTTTCATTGAAAGAAATTATTTTTTTCCTTGTAACATTGGACTGCATTTCCTTCCTGTATATGAATAATATAATTAATATAATTATATATATAGAGGCAAAATTTATAAAAAAATTATATATATAATCACATATATAATCATACAATTATATCACATACAATTATATATAATTATTTTTCCCGGATACTTATTAACTATTAAATAACTGTAGAGTAACTATATGTGTCATCACTCTGTCACTTAAAACTAAAGAATCCAAATGCGAGCAAAGTATTATTTCCTAACCTGTCCTTGCCTGCCGAAATCCGGCCTGCCATAATCTGGTTGTTGCGTGCCCATAGTCATGGTTCATGAGATGAGCTAATAATACTTCAATCACACATCAAACACGGAGAATTTCGTCTCTAGTAACTGATATTTAGTGTCGAGACGATAATCGTAAACAGCGTACTTCGAGTGTATAAATATAACTTTTACCACAATCTTTTCGTGCAACTGCACGAAATTGAGACATTACCGCCATCTGTAGTTCAACCATTGCTGTTCGATAGTTAAATGAATGCAGTGTCACCATCTGTGGATCAACTTATCGAAGCGATAAAGACAGATCGAGTTCTTAGTTGTCGATAAAGAGAAGTACTTGTATCGCAAAAAACCAGAGAGAGAAAGAGAGACAATTTAGATAATATTTATTTATAAAATTGTGAATCCCCCCATAATACTCTCTCTTAAATTGCACACTTTAATTGATATCTTACGCTTGTATTGATACAGTTGTTTATAACAAAAAATAATCAAAATGACAGAGTTATTGACGACCTGGGAAAAAAAGTTCAGACAAAAGCCAGATATGGATTTTGTCAAGATTTGGTCAGATATAATCAGATATAACGTTATATATGATTCAGATCTGTCCACATATAATAATATATAATCATATATACAATTATATAATTATATATGATTATATATGGATCTGAATCATATATAACGTTATATCTGATTATATTTGATCAAATCTTGACAAAATCCATATTTAGCTTTTATCTGAACTTTTTTTTCCCGGGAATTTCTTCTGGAAGAAGAAAATTACTTCCCATATAGCACAAATGTTTACTAGATATTCTAAAAACATTCTAAGAATATTCAAATATTCTTAGAATATTCTTAGAACATCTGTTGAACATTTGTGCTGTATGGGTTCGCTGTCGAACTCGAGAATTATTCTTTCGGTATTTTCTCCTGGGTGAGTCCTTTTAACACGTTAATTATTACAGATACGTGACGTTTTCGGTCACTTGACGCGTTAAAATAGCGGCCGAGGTGCCGAATGGCGTTTTGAATAATGCACCGATGTTTGTATCCGAGTGACACGATTTATTTGCATATGCACGCTAATTAATTTACCGCGTCGTTTAACACGACGATATACAAGCTCGAAACTGTACAAGGAAAATTCCAAGCTCGTTCAAAAAATTATTTTACCAACGATTTACCTTACTTTCATCCTTTATATTCGTTTATTTTGGATTAAAAATCCCCGAGACACCCAGCGAGAAATGACTCGTTGATCGACGTCGATTTGACGATTTCGATATCGATTTGACATCGTTTCGATGTCGATCGACGAGTCATTTCTCGCTGGGTATCTGCGCATTGAAACGATCATGAGATATGCGCATACGTTTCGCGATTACACACGTACACGTCGGAAAATCTTTCTCAGAAACCTTGAACAAATTATCTGTGTGACATCTCTATTAACAGGCTTGTCACAGGAAAGTTACAGAATCGCTTAGAAGTGTCGCATACATGAGAACTTGTTCTAACTCAACCGGGACTTTGGCTCTTATTCTGAATTCTCTTTTGTCAGTAAAAGTGTCTTTAAATATGAAAGTCAATCAGAAGGTTTGTAAGTAACATTCAGGATAGGAATTTTGTATTTTCTTTTTTTTAGGATTCTTTTTAAATTTTTTCATTTAAAAATTATTTGTAAACTCAGTTTAATTGTTACCCAATCCTAGTAATAATTGATAAATAATTAAGTGAATAATTAATTGATCAATCCAGAGTTGATTTAAAATGTTAAAAAGTTTGTAATGTTAAAGTTTGTAACTTTAACTTAATTTAGTTAGCTTTAATGAGTCAACTTTTGACTTAAACTAATTACTTAAAAATTCATGAACTTTGATTTATTAATTCTTTAACTTATTAAACCTTTTTACTTAAATATTTTTATTAAAGTAAGTTTTTTTTAAAGAAAAGGTTACTTAAATAAAAAGTTTTTTCTTAAATAAATATTTTTTACTGAAATCTTTTTATACAAGTTAAAATAATCTATTAATATTAAAATGTGAGTTATTATCCAGATAGCACAGAGAATTCTAAAAGAACCCTGGTAAAAAAAAGTTGATAGAGAACGATAGAATAAAATTCTATCGTTTTAAATATGGATTTTGGTTCGTGAATTCACAAATGTGAATAGTATTCTATTATACGATAGAAAATGATAGAACGATAGAATTTTATTCTATCGTTCTCTATCAACTTTTTTTTACCAGGGAATTCAGTCGTATGTCACTAATTCTGAGTTCATTTTTAGATGCAAAAAAAATTCTTCAGAATTCAGTTCAGTAAAAAGCATCTAAAAATAAACTCAGAATTGGTGATATACGACTAAATTTTTTTTTAGTTCTTTTTTAATTCTCTGTGCTATGGATAGCAATGTAGAATAAGAAGAGTAAAAAAATAATGACAGAAGAACAATTTGGCTCTCTGAGGAAGATTAATCACTCAGAATTCTTCTGAGGATTCTAACTAACTTTAACATTAATTTCAGTCATTGGTACACGATTCAAATATTCACGAGCGATTTTTTTTTTGCAGATTTTTACATTGCCACCCAATCTGACGCAATTGCATCGCTCACGCGCAAACAGACATGGAAAATTTCCTCTTATGCCACTTATGAACAGATCGTGAATACGTAATGCAAAAGTGCCTACACGTACGGTGGTGTTAACGAGAGGGACAGATGCTTGCTGCTATAAAAGTGACGGTTGAGATGGTCGAGGTCTGTCGCTTGAAAATGTCGCGCGCCGTTGGACACCGCGATCGAACCTGTTGGTCGTTTCCACCCTCTCGTATCATGATGTTGTTTATATTATTACTGTCCTTGTGGACGACGTTGCTACCAGTGAGTGCCGGTCCGATACCCGATCTCGCGAAGGAGTATCAAAATCTTGTGTCCGAGAGCTCGACGGTGGACAACTCCACGGACAATTCGACGGAAATTGCAGCCAACACCGACGTGTAATCTTTTTTATATCTGTATATCTGTCACAATCCAGGTAGCACAGAGCATTCTAAAAGAATTCAGTCGTATGTCACCAATTCTGAGTTCAGTTTTAGTTGCAAAAGGAATTCTTTTTACTGAACTGAACTCTGAAGAATTCTTTTTGCATCTGAAAATCAGGATTGGTGACATCCCATATAGCACAAATCTCTAAAAAACTTCTTAAAAAATTCCAAAAGTGTTCTGGAGGACTTTTGGAACTCTTTAAGAAGTCTTTTAGAGATTTGTGCTATGTGGGATACGACTGAATTCTTTTTGAATTCTCTGTGCTATCTGAGAAGATATTTTTCACTTATATATTACCCTTGGGGGGCAGAGAAACACTTGTCCAAAATATTTGTCACCGCTTTCAGATACGTGATTAAAGCCGTAGTTTACGAGATTGGGATTCTCACCGACACGGATAACACAACAACGGACGAGAGTACGGAGAGGTAACATCTTATTCTTACCAAGGTTGCATTCCGAAATGTTCTTTTTGTAGAAAATTTTACTCGATATCTATAATTCACGTTATATATACTATAGAATATCAAATAAAATTTTCTCAAAAAAGACGTTTTGGAATGCAACCTAGGATTAGACGGTGCGCATAAATTATGACATTCCACGTCTACGCGTAGACAATGTGAACTATATATGAAATGTTGTCTATGTGGACAATGAATAATTCATAAATGTTGTTCAAAGAGCGTATGACTTGCTAAAAAATTAATTAAGAAAATTTTATATTTTTTATTAACCTTCAGAATCCTGATGTAAACTTATGAACGTTGTCTTCTGAACAAATTAGAGCTCACAGAATTCTTTGATTACATTCTTACTTTCAGAGTTAAATCTATCAATTTGTCACATGAATGAAACAAGAATTTTACACAATTTATCTGTTTTAAACATTATATTTATAATTTTTATATAAAAAAACAGATAGATTAGTAGAGAGATAAGAGAAAGGGAGAAGGAGAGGAAGGAGGAGAGAAGAAAGAGAGAAAAAGAGAGAAAGATTTAACTTTGAAGATAAGAGAATGTAACCAGAAAATTCTGTTGACTCTAACTTGTTTAGGAAAAAAACGTTTATAAATTTACAACAAAATTCTAAAAATTAAATGAATTCTGGTATAAATTTATAAACATTGTTTTCTAAACACAAGTTAGAGAGTCCACAGAATTTTCTGATTATATATACTTACTTTAGAGTTAAATCTACTAATCACATAATGAATTGAGAATTTCATGCAATTTGTAGTCTTTTTTAAACATTATAATTAACGTCCAAAACAGATTAACAGATAGTATTTGTCTCATAATTTAACTATTTCTTTTTGTATATTTTCATATAATTTAACATTTCATATACTTCACATTGTCCACACGAATCTGTTTATGTATCACGTGAGTAGTTCATGTGAAAGTGAGAACCCTGGTTGGTTCTTATTTCCCTTCCCAGGAAACATCAAATAACGGTAATATTACATCAGTGTTATAATTTCCACTCAATAACGTAAAAACAATGTAACACATGTTGTTCATAACAGTTACATTGTCGAGTGGAAAATTATATAACATTGATATGATATCACTATTACACGATATTTACTGGCTTATGTAGTTTCGTTTCTTCATTTTGCGATCATTTTGATGTCAATGATTCATTTTTAATATCTTGCAGGCACGAGAGAGTCGACATATCGTTATACGACCCACCGCTTGCGGATGACGAATTCTCGTGATACCAAGGATGCTGTCACACCTCGAAGTGAGAACGAGGCAGACGCGAAGTTACACGCGTAAACGCATTTGCGGCTGTAAAGTGTGAACGAAAAACACTGCTAAACACAAAGACTGTACAAGTGGTATTTTCTTTTTTTTTCCGATAGTTTTGCGCGCATAGTAAATTATTGATTGACGCAAGAGATAGTATATAGAGATTTGACGGAGTGCGTAAAAGATGACACAATTGTAACGCAATTTATAAAGAGATTTCGTTATTAAACTGCGACGACGCGACGAAACGAAAATGCTTTGGGAGATTTTAGAACAATGTTTTATTATTATTTCATCATTTTTAATTATGAACAATATCTCGTGTACAACGCTATAAACACATTGCTGCTGCAAAACCTGCGAGGCAGAAGAAAGTCGCGGAACAATCAGGTAACATAATTCGCAGAACTGTCGTCTCGGGAAATGACAAAGTATATCTCGATAGGTATATCAAGGTAGCTCGGTCGAAGTGCGCAACACGTTGGTTTTCCCTGCAATTTTTAACGCTATTTATCCTCTGGAAGATCTTCGTGAAAGACTTTTAACAGTCGCTTAAACATATGTATCTACAAATCTTTCCACTCCTTTTCCGCTTCTATTGAAATGCAAATAAGCGCGCAAGTTCGTCGAGAGCTCCCGATTAATGCGATATCACGTATAAATTTCGACCGAATATATTATGACAAAAGGTAATAAAAATACACGATTCTTTCTATCTTTTTCTCTCTCTCTCTCTTTCTCTCTTTCTTTTTTCTGCTCATATCGCATCGTTGCACTAACGTACGTTCAGTTAGACAGTAGGCACTGCACCTAAGTACCTTTGCCTTATCGAAAGAATAAGCAAAAGCACCAGTTCGCGAAATCTCGGGCTTACAGTATTAAACGTCGTCACAAGTAATTCTTCCCCGTCGTCTCTTTCTCTCGCCGCGTTCGTTTGTTCGCAATGTTCGTAATGGTTTGTGTAAATGTGTTTCGTGAAATCAAACTCAAACGTCGAGCGGAGGTGATCAAGCGGAGGTGAAATTCGTCCGACGTCTCCTTTCGTTCTCTCTTTCTCTGTCTCTCTCTCTCTCTCTCTCTCTCTCTGTCTCCTCGTTTATAGACCATGTATGGCGCGAACTGAGAAGTTGCGATTTGTCCCCTTTTCTTTTTGTTCTTTCGCTGTTTTTCCTCCTTCTTCTCTTCCATTTTGAACGGAGAACAGTTCATCGGTTACGTATAAATAACAGTTTTACGAAACTCTTAACAATACAGTCGTAAAATATACGCGGGAGGGACTTCACTTTCGCGGGAATACCTGCAGACGTTGGCCATCCGGGAAAGGGGGTGGGGTTGAGAGGGGACAGGATGTACCTATATATTTATATAGTATATGTAATAAACATCAAATTATCCGCTAAATGGTAGTTGAGCGTCGATGGTAGGTTCGGCATTCGTATTTATTTGAGATACCCTGCAACGGGACTATACTGTGCCCAGCGTCAACACACACTTTCCATTTTTTTTGTTTCTTCTTTCTTCCCTTTAAAGCACATAATCAACACGTGGTGTCTAATGAAAATAGAGGCGTAATATGCTCCGATCGTTCTCGTACGACTCGATACTGATATGATTTTCTCTTCCTATTGCCATATCTCGTCTAACATAGGCAGGGTGGGTGGGGGGGAGAATGGGAGGGAAACGGTGTTTCACTTGGCGTCTTTCGACATTAGCACGGAGTCGGTGGCGGCAGGTGTGTTCTTCGGGACGTCTGAGTCCTGTTGCTCGGCCGGCGGCGGCTTCTCGCCCGCTGCCGCGTCCTTCGCGTCTTCCGCCGTCGTGGCCTTGGCCTCCTCCGCGCCCTTGACGTCGCTAGAACGAACAAGGCGAACTTTTTACGAATTACACCAGCCTCGACGCAGGTAGACATTATAAATACCTGCTGGTAGCCGGCGGTTTGCTGGGATTAGCGTTTTTGTCAGCGAGGATCGTCTTGTTCTCGTCGCTCTTACTGTTGAGGTTGGTTTCCGTATTGGACGGCATACCTGATCCAGTCACTTCAGTGTTCGCCGAGTCTTTGCTCTCCTTCTCGTTGTCGTCCTCGACGTTCTCGCTAGTCGTCGTGTCCTTCTCCTTCGAGTCCGCGATCGTTTCCGACACTTTCTCTTTAAGTTCATCGTCGCGCGGCTTCTTATCCTCGCTCGCAGTATTCTCTATATTTAAGGAATTTTCGAAATTATCGAAATTGGCCCAGCCGGTAGACTCCACCGGCTCCGACGGAACCACGTCCCACGGATTAACCGGGGGAAGCGCGGTACTAGAAGTCAACGGCTCGGTAGTGTCCCAAGCTGTAATTTGAAAAGAAGCTAAAGTAATTCTACGACCTGAAACGATTTGCATATAACTGGATGACGATAATTTAGTTCAGATTAATATAGCTTATTTAGAAATAAAATAATTAAACGACTCTTCAATTTTCAGTTATGCTTCTGTAGTTCATTTAAATAAAATTACTCATTTTTTGCAGTTTTATTACATGGCTCTACTTGCGGTCGTAAAATATTGCACTAGACGGAATTTCCCTTTCTCGTGAAATGAAATATATAACAATAATAAAATAATAATA